ATATATATATATATATATATATATATATATATATATATATATAGTAAATGGATTGCATTTATATAGCGTATTTTTGCTACTCCTACGAGCACTCAAAGCGCTATACAGTTATGCCTCACATTCACACACACATCCACACACCGGTGGCAGAGGCTGCCATGCAAGGCGCCAACCAGCTCACCGGGAGCAATTTGGGGTATACAGTCGTCCTTCGCCATTTCTCACTTCGACTTTCGCGGCTTCACTCTATCGTGGTTTTTTCAAATACATTTATTCATTAAAAAGTTGATAGACAGTGAAAATGATACAGCGCGCGCTCGGTTGTCTGAGTGAATTATACACCTCTGTATTACAATTAAAATAAAAATTACTGTACGTGTGGACTGTAGGTCTATGTATTCGAGCACCCCCGCAAATCCTTCAACGCCAGGTGCAGCCGAATAATAAAGAAATAAAGAATCCTACTTCGCGGAAATTCATTTAACGCGGTAGAGTCTGTCTTAGGAACTTTGAGCCTGGAAGCAGCCTGGCAGTGTAGCCTTCTGCCAGCAGAACCACGAATGCATATCTGTTTAAAAATTTACTTTTTCCAGAGCTGTCATACATGTCATATAACTGCAATGATAAAATATTAATAAATAATTTTAAACATTTTAAAGTTACCTTTATTCTTCTATAATATTTTACTAGAGTTTACACTATTCAACCCCATTTCCAAAAACACCACTGCGCCAACTATTTTGGAACATGCTGCAGCTGTCGCAATTAGAATGAATGTATATATACAAAAATTAATTAAGTTGATTAGTTCTAAAAATGCCAAAAGTCTCCTATTTCGTTTGGTTACTTATGGGTAAGGTTAGAGCTGGGTAGGGGTTAAGGTCGTCATGTTTTCCCCATAGAAAAGAATGGAGAGTCCCCACAAAGATATAATTACAAACCTGTGTGCATGTGTGTGTTTAATTCTGATGCAGGGATGATAGAATCATAATAACTCTTAAATGCCACTAGGGCAACATTTAATTACGCAAACATTGGAAACACAATACAAGTGATTAAGTTTCATTTCCCAAATATGATTAGAGAACATCAGGCAGTGATATCTGAAAGTGAGTACGCTGGTGCCGTTAGTGAGGAGGCACTCTGGTATCCCTTTGCGCTGTGGTGTCTGATGTGTCCTGTGATATCCATTTCAGGCAGCAGATCCATAATGGAACTTTGCTGCTTTGAACTGGAACTGCTTCCTGTGTGTCTGGTTGCCCTTCATCGCCCTAAGTTCGCTCACGTTGGGACGCTCCCTGCCTGTGCGTCATTAGTTTGTTTTCTTATCTGCTCCTCCCCCCTGTAATTTGGCCCCATTCTCGCCTTCCCAATTTCATGCCGTCTGCCCTGACAGAGAAAAATGTCACGGCAGGACATCGCTATCTCCTTGGAGGGAGGAAGCAAAGCGTTCTTCCTGTGGTGCCTGTTTACAAACATTGTGAAGACATCCGCGATGTTCTGACTCTGTAGCATGTACTGCACTACTGCAGCAGCACGTAGGAAGGCAGGCTAACGGCTGGCGCTGCTCTGCGGCTAAGGATTCTGTGCCTGTGATTGGAAGGTCGCTGGTTCAAATCCCACGGCCAGCAGAATAATCGTATCAGTGCTGGACCCTTGTCCAAGGCCCCTAACCCCCATTTCACCAGGGTCTGCCCCTGCACCCTGATCTTCACTTGTACGTCACTTTGAACAAAAGCATCTACTGAATAAATGAATGTAAATGACAGCTTAGCAAACTTTGCTAGTGTTTGAAGAGAACACAAAGATCTCTTTTCTGCTCAAGATGTATTTAACACACTCTGAGTAGTGAGAAGTATTTTTTTGAGGTTTAACTGAAGCTCCGTTTCATCTCAGGATTTTTTTTCCCCCTCCTTAGCATCTCACACCTGTATCTTCTCTCAGACCAGCTGACGATTATAACTGCATGTTGGCTGGAAAAGGCATAAAAGGTGATGGTGCAGTGGTTATGTTCTGTGTGTGATTATTTGCTGCCCAGTTGCTGAGGTGTTTCTTCACCAAATAAAAAATATATTAACTTTAAAGGATGACATTCATGTCCTGCATTGGAATGCTGGTAATATATCGTATGTTTCATCATTAGAGAGCCAGATGTGAACCTGGGCCACTGGGGAGGATTTGAGGAAGAAACCGATGACTTTGCTTTTGCGATATTGTGCTTCTGATGTTTGTTTTGAAGAATCTCTTGTTCCAGATTTTTTTTTCCTGTTTGTCTGTTTCTTCCTTCTACTCTTTATTCGAAGTGTGGTCCCATAGTGCACCGTGGCTGCATACATTACACCTGTCAAAGAACTTACTGAGTCAGTGCAGAACCATCAGACGATTGCTATCACAGTTCCTAGAAGCATACAGTTATATATATATATATATATATTAAAAAACAGCATATGCATTTTTTATTTCATTGTCAGGTAAAGTGTTTTAGTTTTTAAATCTGTCATCTTAGATTTGATAGGTTGTTGGATTAATTGTGTGACAAGATTAACACACGTGAGACTCCTGATCTCTCCACTGAATTGACTGAATTGAAGCTTTTCATGTCCCTTCAGCTCAGTGACCATGTCTAAGGCTACGGTGAAGAAGCTGCACTGGCGCTCCAAGGTGCAGGAGAGTTTTGTCCCCCTGGGCGAGGCCACTGGAGAGCTGGGCCTGGCAGTCGGGGGCGGAGCCGACTACGGAGAGTTCCCATTCGTCACTGCGGCTCCTGGGGGCGGGCCCACAGTGGGTGACGTAATCCTCGAGATTGGGGGAACCCCGGTGTTGGGAATGACCCTGGGGGATGTCAGGGGGGTCCTCAATTCCTGCCCCCATCCCATTCGCATCAAGACTGTCGCCCCAGGTATTGTATTCCACCATTTAGCATTAATAAATCCTGAAAATACATTTGCATAGTCCAGTGTTTCAGTAGAAAAATCTCTGCACAACTGCATGCTTGTTTTTGTGTCTATGCTGTTGCATTAGCTTCCTGTGCCCCAGTACATTTCTCAGCTACCGCGCTACAGCAAAATAAGCACACGGCGAAGGGGCCGCCATCATCGCATGTGATTCTGGGCACATTTCAATGCAATCGCTTCCAAAACCCTTTGCTCATTAAAATCTGCGTGTGGAGCTTGCGACATGACTTGCAGGGCCCAGTTGGTAGCTGAGGCCTTCTTTCGAAATTCCCCCATCTGCTCATGTGGGTCACATGCGAAAAGGGCCGCCGAGGTGCATTCCCTGCGCGGCTTGCGTTGCCACGTAGCCAGCAACAAACCGCGGTGACGGTTCCAGCTGGCAGACGTCAGGCAGGACATTACACTTGTCACCTCCTCAGGTACATAAAGAGTATGAAACAAATGTGTTGGCAGAGAGTTCCTGAACTCCGCTGTATTTAATCTGGATGTGGTTCCCTCTGGCCTCCATACACAGATTGATGACTGCGCTATCCGTTGCACCATAAGCAGGACACTTAGTCCTGGTGCTGCTTCTGTCTCTGTGTCTGCATCACTGAATACCGCTGTGCTGTCAGGATTCTGAGAGCTGTAATCCGCTGCAGCACTGTGCCTCTTACCGGGGTCCACGTCCTCAATCGTCCCTCCGATATGCATCCTGTTGCCTTAAAATGCTGCATTTTTAACATCCAGGAAGCATTTTTGAGATTCAGCATTCAGGTTGTGCAAGAAATACCAGGACATTTGATGTAGCAGCTTATTATATAGCCCTGTTAAAACTGTGAAATATGACTGGAGCTATAAATAGGGTAGGGAGGCCTGGTGGGAGCGAGGAGCACGGTCCACTCGCTGGAGGCTCTGAAGCCGAACGGTGATTTAAGCCAGGAGCCGCAGGCTCACATTCAGCCCCAGCAGTACCTGTGTGCGGCATGTTCTTCGTGCGCTTGTGAGGATTCGGTCATTTTCCTCCCGCAGTCCAAAGGCATGCAGGTCTGAATCGCCTGTAGTGCGCGACTCTCTGGGTGAATGTGAATGTAAGTGAGGTCCATGTAATGTACTCGTGCCCTGTTCCTGTTCCTAGGGGGCCCCCTGCATAGACCCCCTCGCTGTATGTACCAGTGTCAGTGTGACTACAGGATCGCGAATGGATTGATGGATGGGTAAAGCTATGCGAATGGCTGTAACGAATATCATAACAAGTTCTATTATTACAAAGAAGATATTGTCCTTTAAATGTAATTAGTTGGTGTACCCTGCAATGGGTCGGCGCCACATCCTGGGTTATTCCCTGCCTTGTACCCATAGCTACTGGGACAGACTCCAGACCCCTGCTACCCTGAAGCAAGTACAGAAGATGGATGGGTAGTTGGTGTATGTAGTGAATGGTGAATTTCTAACCCTTAATATCAAGCTCAGTAACTTTAATACACTTTGGCCTCTTCTGCTACTCTTACAAATGTGGAGCACCAAACTTGATACCACAAAATCCTGTAATAAAAGGCTGTATTATGTGATGATAATGTGCTTATACTTTCATGTAGGAGGATGACTGAGATGATCACAGCCGTATCGATGAAATAAAAAGTGCCAAACGCTCCGGGGGGGGTTTCTCTCTGTAAACATATTTGGCACTTGATGCGAGACTCATAAGCTGTCGACTGTACAGTTTTGAATTCAAGGGGAACCAATTTGTATTTATAATAAAGAGCACTGGAGAATTAATTGGTTTTGGAAATGGGGGGTGGCTGCGCTGTCGTGTAGGACCTGCCTTTGGGTAAGTGGGATCCAGGTGAAGAGGAGCCCGATTTGTCATCTACAGGAGGCCGGGCCGAGGTCACCTGTCTGGAAAATGCGGGCGATGCCCATCAATAACAGGAAGTGACCTGTCCTGAGAGTCGTAAAGCACTTCAGATTCAGTGAAAAGATCGTGTGGCCTCTCATCTGAGAGAGTGCCAGAGCACTCCGCGGAGTGGGGGAGGTTTGGGGGGGGGGCGTCACATGGAAAATGAGAGATGTTTCACGGCGGAGTACGTGTTTCACGGCGGAGTACGTGTTTCACGGCGCTGACGCGGCGGCCTTCCCTTGTAAACACAAGCACATTTCGCGTTCAGCTTCGCCTCCTGCTGAACCAGGACAGAAAAGATCATCTTATTACCACAGCGAAAGTAATGAAGTCTCTCTGGTGGTAACAATGTGCAAACAGATACAGAGTTTACTTTGTGTCCTCCTGAGGGGAAAAAGCTGTCCATTCTCATTCCAGTTTCTTTTACCTTCTGGAGGCTTACAGCAGCCTTTTGTGTCTGATGCTGGACTTGATGTTTTGTTTATGGTATAACTGGCTGCGTCTTATGGTCTGTTTGTATTTCGTGGTCCAGGGTCCACCCTTTGCAAGGACCTGAGGCTCTACCTGAGTAAGTGCTTCACGCCGGGCTCCATGGACAGCCAGCTGCAGCAGGTGATCCGGGAGAACCTCTATCTGCGGGCTGTGCCCTGTGAGTCCGCCTGATGCAGATCTTAGATTCATACCTTTCCAATGAGCAGGAACAAGACAGAGGATGCAACGCCAAGATGTACTGAATCTCACATGCTGCACCCAGCGCACAAGCACACATCCACTCTGGGAAATTATCATGGTTGCACCCAAGAATTTATGTCTGTTGGCTACAGAGAGAGAGAGAGAGAGAGAGAGAACAAAAGATTGAGGGTAAGAGGGAAGAAGAAGGAGCATTTGGGCACCCAGGAAAAAGGGAGCGAGAGTAGCGGGTTTATGATCATTTGTCTGTAATTTATCTGGCAATCATACATTATTGTTCAATGTCAAAAGTTCAATGGGAGACAAATCTACTTGAGATGTGTTTGTTTCCATGACAACTGTGCTGAACGTCAGCTTAGGTCTATTTTTATAGTGTGGTAGGCCCCGAAATTTCCACCCGCTTAGCATTTTAAAGATTCCTAGCTGCTTTGATTTTAGAAATTAGCTATTTTTCACTAAACAGCATCGTCAACAGCTTTGCCATCTAATATGTAGTGACTTTTTGTTGCATATCACGCATTAGAAACCTTTATCTTTTCTTGCTTGCAGCTATGAATGTATAAATACCCTTAAACACCTTTGTGAAAAGAGCCTTACCTTAAACTAAACTCTCTGCTACATAAAACAAAATAGGTCAGCTAGGAAAACAGGCTTAAAATGTGTAATTTCTAAGCTATACGATACACTATGTGGCCTTCAGAAACATGTTCCAATTTCATTTGTACAGTGTAAAGGCCAGTATAAGTTTGACCTCCTGCTTTTGTCTGCTACAGTGTAAGTTGTGTCTGAGCTGTACGATTCCTTTGTAACATTCACCCTCTGCATTATAGGATGAATTCGGCATCTTCGCAAAGATTCTTCTGAGTATGTCTGGCTGTAATAAGTGTTGGAAACATGTCCACAACTAGGTCTGCTTGCCTTTTTATTCCTCTCCACAGCTTTGTTCTGGGTCCATATGTTTCCCAACACAGACATTCTGTGGTGCGATGCCCTTCAGCTCCAAAGAAGGCATTTTTAATTTTAAAAAGGCTTGTTTGTGTTCACCGCTGCATTGTGACTTTGTGTGCAGTGAGCCAGACCCTTGCGGACAGATTCCTGCTGGCCTGAACCCAGTGTGTGGTGGGGATGTGCTACTTCTGCTCTTAATATATTCACTAAGGTTTAAATGCGACGCATGCAGCTACCCTTGTACTCTGGGGTCTCCTGCTGAGAGCAGCAGTGCGAAGTCACCATGCTGGACAGTATTCTTTCTGGCTCAGCGCCCACATGGGGAGTGATGATGAAGACGACTCATTAGAAGTATATTGTCATCGGCCCCAATGCAAGGTGACACCATAACAGGGAGCTGTGTTTAACTCAGCAGGATGCATGGGTGTATATATCAATATCACAGGCAATCTTGCACCCGTTCCCTAATTTATGCTGCAGATAGGGCTGCATATTTAACAGGCCTCTGCTTCTCATTTTCTGTATGCCAGCCCCTCCCAACTAGATGTCATGTGTCAGAGTGAATTTGGAGGATATTCTGTCACGCTGCAGCGGGTGACCCCGGCTTGGATTTCAGTCCATTTCGGCCGGCTGTTAAGTGCTGTGGCTGTCCCTCCACATTCTGAAAGTACACATAACTTAATAATAATAAAATATAATATATACTTCACATGTGGCAACAGACATACCACTTGTGTCCAAAGTTCAGTATCAGTTCGTAAAACCCTGAGTAATTGCAAATATATGTGAGAGGCAGCACATAAAATGTTCTGTAATTAACCCTGGAGGAAACCCTTTGCGTAACAGTGTTAATGATGGTGTTTCTTCCAGCTGAATAATGAGGTTCACGCAGTCACTTTCATTATGGTCATGTAGCACCTCAGAAGGCGTGTTCCCTTCCAGTGTGTGTACATTCTACATCTGTTAAAGGACTATTTTTGGGCTTTGGTGCCCTGACAGGTTTTGGGTGGAAGTAGGTCATGGTTTCAGTGAAGACACGGAGTACGTAACTGTTGTTTTTCTTCTTAGGTGGGCCAGTATGTAAAAATAGGCGACTTGTGCTCCTGACCTCATCAGCTTTTCATTCGTTGACCATGGCCTGGGTGTCATTTCAGGGTGTCAGTGCAGATGTGCGAATGAATGAGTTTTTTTTTCTTTAGATAGTGATGTCTGAATATATATAAATATATATATATGTGTGTGATGTGTGACCATTCACATCTGAGCAGAATGCATGATGGCAGGATCTTGACAATGATGCTCTGAGAGGGTAGCTCTCCTGCACATTTGTCTTACTGATGATGTGTCTGCAGCTTCCGTCTTGCGTACGGAGCCTCTGACAGACTCCGCTTGCTCCTCCGCAGGTACCACCAGGCCTCCACGGGATGGGGAGATCTCTGGGGTGGACTATAACTTTGTCTCCATTGAGGAGTTCTTCTCCTTGGAGGAGTCCGGAGCCCTCCTGGAGAGTGGAAAGTTTAAGGGTGAGAAAAGAGTTTTGCAAAACACACACACACACACACACAGACCTGTACTCATACCTTTGTGGGGACTGTCCATTCATTTCTATGGGGAAGACTCTAATCCTAACATTACATCCTTAACCCCTACCCAGCCCTAACCTTAACCATAAGTAACCAAACAAAATGCTAGACTTTTGGCATTTTTCGTTTTTTGATTGCATTCACAGATCTTTGTGGGGACCTGAAAAATGGTCCCCACAACATCAATATCACATTGTGGGGAAATATGGTCCCCTCAATGTAATGATAACAAAAATCCATTGCAGAAGGAAGGCTTGGTAAAGACATTGCCAGGTTTGGAGAGCGACAGCGACAGTGACATAAAACTGAAAAGATACTTATTTACTGTTCACATGGTGTTCATCATAATTTACTATGTGCTAATTCCTGCTAGCACGTCTGTGACAATCGCTGTCTTATGTTACCATCAAGCGCTAGCAGAATTAGCATAGGCTTGTGTAAATTTGCATTATGAATCTATTCCGTTCACCTGTTCTACAGTATTTCTTTAAGTTGGAGGTTGGAAATGTTCTGAGTTATCGGGAATGCATCAATACATTGTGATGTGCGATACTAATAATGAATAATATATGGAATATGCCCCTTTTCTCTTCACATAATCCGTATCGACGTAGATCACTAGTATCTCTGTGCATTTTGACCAATCAACTGTTGCCATGTCAGCATGGTTACGGCTTGGGTACGGCTTGGGTACCGCTTGGTTCTTGATGGCAGTGGAAAAGCACCATAAGTCTGTGACGTTTGCATGTCCCCCCCATGCTGTTCTGGGGTTTACTCTGGGTTCTTCAGTTTCCCCCCATAGTCCAAAACATGCAGAGGCTAATTGGAGTTACCAAATTATGCATGTTTGAGTGACTGGGCTGTGAGTGTGCCCTGTGATGGGTTGGTGCCCCATCCTGGGTTTTTCCCTGCCTTGTGCCCATAGGCTCAGCCCCTCTTGTGCCCATCGGCTCTACCCCCCGCCACCCTGTATAGGACAACTGGTTACAGAAGATGGATGGATGGATGGATTCTTTCTTAACTAGTTCCTGTTTTGGGCAACAACAATAAATACATTGAAACACTAACAAACATAAACTAAAAGAATACAAACTGACAGGAGTTTTCTGTGCATGCTAATGAATCATCTATATGACAGAAACTTGATTAATATGTGAAGGTTGTTGCTTAAAAGATACATAACAAAAAAACTAATTAGAATAGTAAATAAACTGTTTCTTTTCAATTATGCTGTAACTAATAATACTAAATAAATAAGCGAAATAATAGCAGCATGAGGCAGATATGGTGCATACGTCTGCACGTGCCGAGTGTTTCACCTGCTTTGACTGGCAAACTCTTAAGCCCGAAATATGTCACTGTCTGCTGCTTATTCTGTCGTTTACATTTTTGTCTTTGGTTGATTTATGACGATAAATGACTATTCATGGTCCATTTCCCTGATTTTCTCAAAATGTCAGTTCTGCATACGGCTACCCCACCACAAAAGCACTGTCCCACCTACCGGGATCCGGAGATGGGGTCTGTCTGATTAACAACCCATAAACAGCCCTATCCAGCAAATTCCACTGCCTTTTTCAAGTGGCGAGTGTTCTTTTTCTCTTTTTTTTGCGGGAGAGCAACACGCCAAATAGAGGTGTGACAAACAGTTTCACTGCTAATAGCCGCAGACTTCCTTCCAACAAAGCTTGGTTTGTAGCCAGCTGGGAGTCCCATACCAGTTTAAACCCGTCCTCCCTCAGTGCTTAACTATTAGAAGCTTTTGGTCACAATTTGCACACTGTACTGCCGAGATTTTAAAGGTGATCTGAAATACAGAGCTCACCCCATGCTCTGTAAGTGTGCCAGTTGAAACAGGCAGCAGGTACCAAAGTACATGTATTATAGGGGCATTCATTTATTTGGCGCCAGTGTCACAATTATGAATAACACAATTCATACCTTATCATGGTCAGTAAGGTATTGTACACAGTAAAATCACTGGAGTCGTACTACTGTATGTAGGCTCTGTAGAGCACCACTCTTAGGCTCCTTGAAAGAATGACAAAAAGATAATATATGAATTTGCTCTTATAGAAGCAGAGCCTTAGCCGGAGTAATTATGTCCCAGAAGAGACACTAATGCTTTTTAATATTCTTTTATATCTAGATGACATGAGGATATGATACAGAATTATGAAAGAGCCTTTATCCCCTATCTTTATTTCAGCATGGTGGAATATTTTGAAATTTTTTGCAAGATTTTATACAAATGTTTTAGTATTCTTAGAATGAATCTTGAATAAACAGTTTTAATCCTTATTTACTCAGTAAACAAAGTTATGCAACAACGACACCATATTTTTAACAGCAATGACTGCAACCAAATTCTTCTTGCAGTTACTGATCAATCTCTCAGTACCATGGAGAAATGTTTTCTCCCTTCTTTCCGTTGCTCAGGAGCTCTTCTGGATTTGAGGGTTTTTTTTGTGTGGCCTGCTTGGATTATTGTGGTGGGCTTTAGGTCTGGGTGGGAAATAAGTGTCCACAACATAAGTGTTCGTACTTTTCAGGAGCCTTGGCCCGGAATTACCAGTGTGTTTCAGATCATTTCCTTACTGCATGACCCACTTGTTTTTCGGTTGCCATTCAGCGCTCGTGTGGCCTCTTGTGTACAGGGCATTAAAACATCAGCAAGCTGTCTGTATCTAGGAAACCAAGATAGCACCACGACCCAAACCTCAGCGGCACCACCACGCTTGATCACCTGAGGTTCTGTCCGTGATATGCAGTGTTTTGTATTCAGCAACAGAGTACAAGTTACCCAAAATGTCCACCCTCATGACTCATCTGACCATGGAACATTGTTCTGGATGCTTGAGGTTTGAGCATTTGTGTTGTTCTTACTGACTGCCTGCATGTATATCACTTTTACCCAAAGACCCTTCGGACTTCACCTGAGGCAAGACAGGCTTGCAAATCCCTGCCTGTTATTCTAGGGCTCTTTGTGACTTCTTGCATGATTTAACCTTGCTCTTGGGGGGATTTTAACAGGACAGCCACTGCTGGGAATGTTCAGTACTGTCCTAAACAGTGCGACACCATGGTACCTTTGTTGTCTGTTATTTCTCAGATGTCCTCTATACCACACTGCACAAAAGGACCTCACTAGAGGTCTGATGAAATTCAGTGTGAAAAATCAGAGGAATCCAATATTTTTTCACAGTACAGTATACAACTTGTGTGCATACATGAAAAACATCCTTTTTTCATTCCACATGATATCATTTCTGTCTGTGCTTCATTTTAAGTCTATTCTGTCATCTCTAAGTAGGTTGTGCAATAAAATCCACAAGGTCAGAGCAGGATTTGCATGTTTTATGGCTTTATTCTGGAAATAAGCAGTGCTTAGTGAATATTCATGACAGTTTCGACATGAGTAACGCATATGCTTATACTTTTATGGAGCAGTGACAACTTCTAAATCCTAACACACACATCTATAGAACTTTCTAATATTGTAACATTTTTCAAAATAACAGTACAGTAATCTCTGCTGATAAACAGAGTGAGACTCAACATACGAGCCAGAGAATTCTGTAACATCAAGTTAACATTATAGGTGTTCATTCTTCCTCTAGGGTGACATGGTTGAACAGAGGATCAATACTGTTTTCTTACCCCTCTGAAGATACAGATCGGTGGAGTGCATGAATGAGTGAATGAATTCCTGTAGTTGGGACAGAGCATTGCCTAAATCTTTCAACGAGCCAGTGAAGGGAAAACAGAAGGGATGAGACGTGGAAACGTTTAGGCAGATCAAAGGAAAGACATATGTTCTGGGTGAGCTGAACTGGTCTGGTGAAAAATGCTGGTCGTCCTGCCTAGGCGTGAGGTTACCATGACGCATCTCAGTGGTTGGGAGGCAGTGTGATGAAGTTGGGGACGATTCTCTACACATTGAGGAGAATCATGTTACGAGCTGGGAGACATTACGATTCTTTTCACAGTTGATGCATCATGTGTTTTTAGGTGGTTTTAGATGGTCACACCGTTGCTTTGTCCGTGGTGTTGATGTGTTTGTGGTTCAGAGCACTGGTAGGCAAACAGCAGGTGAGGATTGAGGATGGCTTTCTGCTGCATTTAAATCTCTTTAGAAGTCAGCTTTTTGTCTTCTCTGTAAGGATTTTGCACACAACAGCTTTGCATGTCCCAAACATAATACCTCCTCACACAGTGGTGGCTGATTGAGATGTATAAGGGACAATCCAGAAGTAATATCTTACATAATGGAGGTAGACAGGCCAATGGCACGTACCTAGACATTGAGGATTTTCTACATACTGCATTTGCTCAGTTTTTGTGAACAGGCCATGGAAATGAAACACATTGGCTTCGGATTTATGGCACATATAAGCAGTTGACACTAGTCAAGAGCTTTGAAGACTACGTTCTAGGATGGGGCAGGTTGTAGCAGTATGCTGCTATCATAAAATTAAGGCAAGTTAGAATTATATAATCCTGTTTTGACAGCAGCGCAGAGCAATCAGAATAAGCAGCAAGGATGTTGAGTTTCCGGGTGAAGTCGTAAATTCAGGTGGAGGGCGCTTTTGTGAGCTATTAAGAGAGGCAATTTTTTATACCTGCCACGGGAGAGTTTGGGAAGGTTTAAGTACTTGCATTTGGGGGGAGCAGGTACCCAGGGAGAGGAGATGTCCCAGCAGGTGCCCAGGACCATGTGGTGTTCGGATTTAGCTGTCCTTCTTAGGTAGCTCGCAGCCAGTAGCTTTCAGCAACATCGCCTTTTCTGTCAAAGACCGCGGCGAAGAGTGATTTAATCTCCAAGCTCCAATCATTTGCAGAGAACGATTTTCACTTTGAGCCGTTAATCACATCCGATAGCAATTAAAGTTAATTTACTTTGTCTGTTTCATTTTGGCAGCAGGGAAAGCGACTGATGACGAGCAATGGTGAGACAAGTCGTAGAACGATTGAAAAACAACAGAAAATGGTACATTAGCACACTGATGCTCCTTGCATTTTGTCAGTGAATGATGGTTTCAGAAGTGTTGTCTGACATAAAAATGCACTTCTGTGATGGTTCTGTTTCTGTGTCTGTATCACATGATGTGTCATGTAGGGAAACTGCACCATTTTCAAATGGGGGAAATTTCCACGGAATTTCAGTGGATATGAGTAAAGCGTAGGGTGTTCCGTTGTGCCTCGTGAACGGGTCAGTGTACCCGGGTTTCAGATTTGGAAATACAGGGTTCAGAGTGGGTTGTCCTCAGTTTTGGTGAGATTTGCAAAGAAGCGATAATTAGAAAGACTTTGTCATTTAATTCTTCTTCTGAAGAGAGTTCTGAAGAGAGAATAGGCTTTTCTCTCTAATCCATGTTTCTGTTTTCTCAAGTTTTTTCTTCATCTGTCTATCCCTACTTTTTTCCTGCTACAACACATTTTCCTCCTGCTTGTCTGTTGAAATAATACCTAAATTCTCGCACGAAAGACAATTAGTAATATTGTAAAGTAGGCGTTCCCAAGCTATGGGTCGCGACCCAAAATGGGTCACAGTCGTGGTTGTGTTGGGTTGTGTCTCGTTTATAATATGGCATCCGCTGCGTGGTACGTCTTTCCATGCACCTGCTAAACAATGAGCTTCCGCGGATGACGCTGCAAATGCCACACATCAGTGATTGGTCAATATGCCATTGGCACGTTGAAACTTCATCAGTTCAGTGTTAAGTTAGTGCCAACGGTACCTTAATTATATGTGTCTTAAGGACTTTTCACACCGAATGCGACATGAAAAACGACATGAATTTGCGAACTATTCGGATGCAAATATGACGGATCAAACCTTTCCAGACCAAATATGACATGAAATTTTCATGGCTGATGGAGGAAAGTTCGCATAACACAAGTTATAATCACAAGTGCTAGCAGCAGTGATGACGAGTGTTTCTTGTGTCTTTTGAAAAAACAAGTGAAAAGAAATAGGCAAATATACTGGATCCATCCAATTCTATAAAAGCTTATAATTACAACAACCATTGTTCTGCCAAAAATAACTCTAGATGTATCCATCTATTATCAGTTAAATAAGTATAGAAGTATTCCAAATATCGGGTTAGCGGTATTTCAGAATAAGCAAAATTAATATTAAGAACATGGCAGCAACACCATCAATTATCAGTTATCAATTATCAACTACAGGAACTGAGAAAATAGTATTTTTTACAATATTTTTAAATTATATTTTTATTGGATATTAATTGTATACAGATAAGATTATAAATCAAGCAAAACAAAAATGTTAGTAAGTAGCCACAATCTAATGTAATCCAGGAGGCATATTACAAAACCTTAAATTAATGACTAACATAAATAACAGAAATACGGTAGGCTTTTGACCTGAATGTTTTGATTTTGAATATCAATTCTAACGTCAAAATATAACTTTATTTTACATTGTAAGTCACACCTATGGGACCAGGGTTAGTCTCTGCCTGGGTTTCCATGTGTGGACTTTGCATGTTCTTCCCATTCCAGTCCAAAAACATGCTGAGGTTAATTGAAGTTACCAAATTGCCTGTAGGTGTGCATATGTGAGTGACTGGTGTGTGACTGACTGCCGTGTGACTGTGCCCTGCGATTGGTTGGTGCCCCATCCTGGGTTGTTCCCTGTGTGCCCATTGGCTCCTGGACCCCGCAACCCTGAATAGGACGAGCGGTTAATGGAAATGCATGGATGGAAGTTAAGCATATTTATTATATATATTTGAACTACTATTGGGCAGGGCCACCCATGAGTGAGGAGAAAGAGGAAGCAAACCCCCCGGGTTCATTATCACTTATTGTCAGGGTTGGACCTGCACTGAATATCAGGATCTGCAATACCAACCTCGTGTCAAATCAAAGTCGGGTCGAAAAGTAAAAGAACCAAATGTAAACCAAATGACTGGTTTTCTTCCTTTTAAAAAAAAACTGATCACATACGTAGAAACTGACATCCCATCGGTCGTTGATTTTTTAACACATCTGAAAACTGCAGAAATGAAGCTCTCTGAATAAAAAAATGACAAGTCATAGCAATGCAAATTTGTTGGACATCAGCAATTTTTTTGGCTAATGTTAGTAGCACTTATAAATACAATTAGAATTCAACCTTTTGTAAGGGTGGGGTGGGGGAGGAGGAAACATGCAGGATCTTATGATTTTTCAATGTTGTCTATGATTTTTCTTGAATGAAAAATGAATCTGCATTTTCAATATGTCAGGGGTTCCATTGTGTCAGTTTTGTTTTTCAAAAGATGAAGGAATGGTTTGTAGAGGGATGCATTAATTGTCATCAACAGCAATACAAATTATAAAATTAAAACCAGTTTTTTAAAAGAAAATATTTAATTGAAGAATATTGTTTGTATACCTCAACTTTTGGGTCTTTGTGTTTTTTTTTTTTTTTAATCTTTTTATATTGTTAACATTTAATGGTTTTTCGTGATGTATTTTGGGTTTGGATTCCAGGCAGATAAAAGATCTCCCTTTTGGGTTCCCAGGTACAAACCTTCAGGGGAACCCCAGTTGTAAGGGGTTAAAACCAGCTTGATACTGATAAAATGTATAGTTGTGATGGTAACACTGTACTTGATGGGGCAAATAATTCAGTTACTACTGAAGTACAAATCATGAACAAATATAGTCGCTACTTGAGATAAAACCTGCATCATGATTCATTAATGATGAACAAATATGAGATCAGTATTTCACTTGTGTTATTCCTTCAGCAGTTCAAAGGGTTTACAGAATTAACAGATATAGTGACAAATATAGTAACTGCTTGAGATAAAACATGTGTCACAAATCAATGACATATTAACATTTGATCAGAATGAAACTAAGACTTAGTTTGTGGCTAATTAATACATAAGTAATAGCATAATACTACATTTGTGCCCCACCAAGAAAAACTGTTACCATTGTGATTTATAATTGTAAGTATCATTAAAGGTCATTTTTATCTCTTGTCATACTTGTTATACATTTTTCTTGTGTGATGTTTGAAATCTCATTTTCAGTCTTATCCCCTTTCTGTGAAGGTTCCCACAGTAGAATCACTTTTTTTTTTTTTTTTTTTACCAGAAATATTGCTTTGTGATGGACTGTCACCCTGTCCATGGTGCCTCTCACATTATCCTCTGTGTTTCCTAGGATAGGCTCCAGGTTAACTGTCACCCAGCATTGTATTAGTGGTTATGAAAGATGAATGGATTTCCATTTGCATTTAAGTTTTCTGGTTGACTCTTCTGGTTTTCGTTCACTGACTTCATTCTGTTGTCTTCACAGGAAACTACTATGGGACCCCCCGGCCGGTCCACATCGGCCCAGAAAGCCCCCCCATTACCTATCAGGAGCACCGCAACCTGCTCAGGAACTTCCGCACCCGGAGCAAGTCCCTAAGCAACCTGGAGAAGGCGGCCGAGGAAGGAGAGAATAGCGAGGAGGACTCTGGCCTCTCAGGTGCACAGGGTGATGGAGGCTTCCGTATGGAATACAGGGATTGGTCAGATTTTGAACCAATCAGTGCAGATCACCCAGGACTCATTAATAAGCAAACAGATCCTGAAAAAGACTCCAAGTCATCGCCCATATAGAGGGAAAAAAAACTATAAAATGAGGATAGAATGAAGGGGTGAAGAAGTGGATTAGGGTGCATAGACGTGGGTTTTGGATTTGATGTGTGCTTTAGAGGGAGCAGGGAAATTGGAGACGGGGAAGTAGGTTGACCTGTACCAAAGGGCGTTTTGCATGTTCTGCCTTTTTTTGTTGCCCTCAGGGGGCTCAGCGTGTGCCAGCAGTGCCCCTCCCCAGGCCTCCTCGCCCAGCCAATCCCGAGACTCCAATGGGGGTGACGGCAGTGCCCTGGAGAACGGCGGGGGCGCCGTGGGCAGGCCCGGAGGGCTCCCGGAGAATTGGGAGATGGCCTACAGTGATTCAGGGGAGCCATATTACATCGAGTGAGTGGGATGTGGGTCACATTTCCGGTCTGTGGCGGGAAGGACCGTGGCTCTACATGTAGCGGAGTATAAGGGGACAATGAATTGGAGATAACTAGCGTCTAGGCTTTGGGCCGCATAGTGTTACGTCATGCTTCCCCGATCCCATAGCGATTGTCACGAAGTTTGTCGCTGATGCTTTCAGTCACAAGTCCAGGACAACCAGCTGGCTGGATCCTCGAGCCCAGAGTCGAGAGGTTCTCAGCAAGACAGAGTGTGAGTCGTCGTCTCCTGCCGCGCCCCCGCATGAGCCCTGAACCCTCTCTGTGCTTGTGTATATATTTATCTCCCACCCCCACCCCCCCGCCAAAAAATAGTGTATACCATTCAACACTGCCCATAAACATCATATCATAAGCAAAGATACGGGATTGGGNTATAGAAGCAGAGCCTTAGCCGGAGTAATTATGTCCCAGAAGAGACACTAATGCTTTTTAATATTCTTTTATATCTAGATGACATGAGGATATGATACAGAATTATGAAAGAGCCTTTATCCCCTATCTTTATTTCAGCATGGTGGAATATTTTGAAATTTTTTGCAAGATTTTATACAAATGTTTTAGTATTCTTAGAATGAATCTTGAATAAACAGTTTTAATCCTTATTTACTCAGTAAACAAAGTTATGCAACAACGACACCATATTTTTAACAGCAATGACTGCAACCAAATTCTTCTTGCAGTTACTGATCAATCTCTCAGTACCATGGAGAAATGTTTTCTCCCTTCTTTCCGTTGCTCAGGAGCTCTTCTGGATTTGAGGGTTTTTTTTGTGTGGCCTGCTTGGATTATTGTGGTGGGCTTTAGGTCTGGGTGGGAAATAAGTGTCCACAACATAAGTGTTCGTACTTTTCAGGAGCCTTGGCCCGGAATTACCAGTGTGTTTCAGATCATTTCCTTACTGCATGACCCACTTGTTTTTCGGTTGCCATTCAGCGCTCGTGTGGCCTCTTGTGTACAGGGCATTAAAACATCAGCAAGCTGTCTGTATCTAGGAAACCAAGATAGCACCACGACCCAAACCTCAGCGGCACCACCACGCTTGATCACCTGAGGTTCTGTCCGTGATATGCAGTGTTTTGTATTCAGCAACAGAGTACAAGTTACCCAAAATGTCCACCCTCATGACTCATCTGACCATGGAACATTGTTCTGGATGCTTGAGGTTTGAGCATTTGTGTTGTTCTTACTGACTGCCTGCATGTATATCACTTTTACCCAAAGACCCTTCGGACTTCACCTGAGGCAAGACAGGCTTGCAAATCCCTGCCTGTTATTCTAGGGCTCTTTGTGACTTCTTGCATGATTTAACCTTGCTCTTGGGGGGATTTTAACAGGACAGCCACTGCTGGGAATGTTCAGTACTGTCCTAAACAGTGCGACACCATGGTACCTTTGTTGTCTGTTATTTCTCAGATGTCCTCTATACCACACTGCACAAAAGGACCTCACTAGAGGTCTGATGAAATTCAGTGTGAAAAATCAGAGGAATCCAATATTTTTTCACAGTACAGTATACAACTTGTGTGCATACATGAAAAACATCCTTTTTTCATTCCACATGATATCATTTCTGTCTGTGCTTCATTTTAAGTCTATTCTGTCATCTCTAAGTAGGTTGTGCAATAAAATCCACAAGGTCAGAGCAGGATTTGCATGTTTTATGGCTTTATTCTGGAAATAAGCAGTGCTTAGTGAATATTCATGACAGTTTCGACATGAGTAACGCATATGCTTATACTTTTATGGAGCAGTGACAACTTCTAAATCCTAACACACACATCTATAGAACTTTCTAATATTGTAACATTTTTCAAAATAACAGTACAGTAATCTCTGCTGATAAACAGAGTGAGACTCAACATACGAGCCAGAGAATTCTGTAACATCAAGTTAACATTATAGGTGTTCATTCTTCCTCTAGGGTGACATGGTTGAACAGAGGATCAATACTGTTTTCTTACCCCTCTGAAGATACAGATCGGTGGAGTGCATGAATGAGTGAATGAATTCCTGTAGTTGGGACAGAGCATTGCCTAAATCTTTCAACGAGCCAGTGAAGGGAAAACAGAAGGGATGAGACGTGGAAACGTTTAGGCAGATCAAAGGAAAGACATATGTTCTGGGTGAGCTGAACTGGTCTGGTGAAAAATGCTGGTCGTCCTGCCTAGGCGTGAGGTTACCATGACGCATCTCAGTGGTTGGGAGGCAGTGTGATGAAGTTGGGGACGATTCTCTACACATTGAGGAGAATCATGTTACGAGCTGGGAGACATTACGATTCTTTTCACAGTTGATGCATCATGTGTTTTTAGGTGGTTTTAGATGGTCACACCGTTGCTTTGTCCGTGGTGTTGATGTGTTTGTGGTTCAGAGCACTGGTAGGCAAACAGCAGGTGAGGATTGAGGATGGCTTTCTGCTGCATTTAAATCTCTTTAGAAGTCAGCTTTTTGTCTTCTCTGTAAGGATTTTGCACACAACAGCTTTGCATGTCCCAAACATAATACCTCCTCACACAGTGGTGGCTGATTGAGATGTATAAGGGACAATCCAGAAGTAATATCTTACATAATGGAGGTAGACAGGCCAATGGCACGTACCTAGACATTGAGGATTTTCTACATACTGCATTTGCTCAGTTTTTGTGAACAGGCCATGGAAATGAAACACATTGGCTTCGGATTTATGGCACATATAAGCAGTTGACACTAGTCAAGAGCTTTGAAGACTACGTTCTAGGATGGGGCAGGTTGTAGCAGTATGCTGCTATCATAAAATTAAGGCAAGTTAGAATTATATAATCCTGTTTTGACAGCAGCGCAGAGCAATCAGAATAAGCAGCAAGGATGTTGAGTTTCCGGGTGAAGTCGTAAATTCAGGTGGAGGGCGCTTTTGTGAGCTATTAAGAGAGGCAATTTTTTATACCTGCCACGGGAGAGTTTGGGAAGGTTTAAGTACTTGCATTTGGGGGGAGCAGGTACCCAGGGAGAGGAGATGTCCCAGCAGGTGCCCAGGACCATGTGGTGTTCGGATTTAGCTGTCCTTCTTAGGTAGCTCGCAGCCAGTAGCTTTCAGCAACATCGCCTTTTCTGTCAAAGACCGCGGCGAAGAGTGATTTAATCTCCAAGCTCCAATCATTTGCAGAGAACGATTTTCACTTTGAGCCGTTAATCACATCCGATAGCAATTAAAGTTAATTTACTTTGTCTGTTTCATTTTGGCAGCAGGGAAAGCGACTGATGACGAGCAATGGTGAGACAAGTCGTAGAACGATTGAAAAACAACAGAAAATGGTACATTAGCACACTGATGCTCCTTGCATTTTGTCAGTGAATGATGGTTTCAGAAGTGTTGTCTGACATAAAAATGCACTTCTGTGATGGTTCTGTTTCTGTGTCTGTATCACATGATGTGTCATGTAGGGAAACTGCACCATTTTCAAATGGGGGAAATTTCCACGGAATTTCAGTGGATATGAGTAAAGCGTAGGGTGTTCCGTTGTGCCTCGTGAACGGGTCAGTGTACCCGGGTTTCAGATTTGGAAATACAGGGTTCAGAGTGGGTTGTCCTCAGTTTTGGTGAGATTTGCAAAGAAGCGATAATTAGAAAGACTTTGTCATTTAATTCTTCTTCTGAAGAGAGTTCTGAAGAGAGAATAGGCTTTTCTCTCTAATCCATGTTTCTGTTTTCTCAAGTTTTTTCTTCATCTGTCTATCCCTACTTTTTTCCTGCTACAACACATTTTCCTCCTGCTTGTCTGTTGAAATAATACCTAAATTCTCGCACGAAAGACAATTAGTAATATTGTAAAGTAGGCGTTCCCAAGCTATGGGTCGCGACCCAAAATGGGTCACAGTCGTGGTTGTGTTGGGTTGTGTCTCGTTTATAATATGGCATCCGCTGCGTGGTACGTCTTTCCATGCACCTGCTAAACAATGAGCTTCCGCGGATGACGCTGCAAATGCCACACATCAGTGATTGGTCAATATGCCATTGGCACGTTGAAACTTCATCAGTTCAGTGTTAAGTTAGTGCCAACGGTACCTTAATTATATGTGTCTTAAGGACTTTTCACACCGAATGCGACATGAAAAACGACATGAATTTGCGAACTATTCGGATGCAAATATGACGGATCAAACCTTTCCAGACCAAATATGACATGAAATTTTCATGGCTGATGGAGGAAAGTTCGCATAACACAAGTTATAATCACAAGTGCTAGCAGCAGTGATGACGAGTGTTTCTTGTGTCTTTTGAAAAAACAAGTGAAAAGAAATAGGCAAATATACTGGATCCATCCAATTCTATAAAAGCTTATAATTACAACAACCATTGTTCTGCCAAAAATAACTCTAGATGTATCCATCTATTATCAGTTAAATAAGTATAGAAGTATTCCAAATATCGGGTTAGCGGTATTTCAGAATAAGCAAAATTAATATTAAGAACATGGCAGCAACACCATCAATTATCAGTTATCAATTATCAACTACAGGAACTGAGAAAATAGTATTTTTTACAATATTTTTAAATTATATTTTTATTGGATATTAATTGTATACAGATAAGATTATAAATCAAGCAAAACAAAAATGTTAGTAAGTAGCCACAATCTAATGTAATCCAGGAGGCATATTACAAAACCTTAAATTAATGACTAACATAAATAACAGAAATACGGTAGGCTTTTGACCTGAATGTTTTGATTTTGAATATCAATTCTAACGTCAAAATATAACTTTATTTTACATTGTAAGTCACACCTATGGGACCAGGGTTAGTCTCTGCCTGGGTTTCCATGTGTGGACTTTGCATGTTCTTCCCATTCCAGTCCAAAAACATGCTGAGGTTAATTGAAGTTACCAAATTGCCTGTAGGTGTGCATATGTGAGTGACTGGTGTGTGACTGACTGCCGTGTGACTGTGCCCTGCGATTGGTTGGTGCCCCATCCTGGGTTGTTCCCTGTGTGCCCATTGGCTCCTGGACCCCGCAACCCTGAATAGGACGAGCGGTTAATGGAAATGCATGGATGGAAGTTAAGCATATTTATTATATATATTTGAACTACTATTGGGCAGGGCCACCCATGAGTGAGGAGAAAGAGGAAGCAAACCCCCCGGGTTCATTATCACTTATTGTCAGGGTTGGACCTGCACTGAATATCAGGATCTGCAATACCAACCTCGTGTCAAATCAAAGTCGGGTCGAAAAGTAAAAGAACCAAATGTAAACCAAATGACTGGTTTTCTTCCTTTTAAAAAAAAACTGATCACATACGTAGAAACTGACATCCCATCGGTCGTTGATTTTTTAACACATCTGAAAACTGCAGAAATGAAGCTCTCTGAATAAAAAAATGACAAGTCATAGCAATGCAAATTTGTTGGACATCAGCAATTTTTTTGGCTAATGTTAGTAGCACTTATAAATACAATTAGAATTCAACCTTTTGTAAGGGTGGGGTGGGGGAGGAGGAAACATGCAGGATCTTATGATTTTTCAATGTTGTCTATGATTTTTCTTGAATGAAAAATGAATCTGCATTTTCAATATGTCAGGGGTTCCATTGTGTCAGTTTTGTTTTTCAAAAGATGAAGGAATGGTTTGTAGAGGGATGCATTAATTGTCATCAACAGCAATACAAATTATAAAATTAAAACCAGTTTTTTAAAAGAAAATATTTAATTGAAGAATATTGTTTGTATACCTCAACTTTTGGGTCTTTGTGTTTTTTTTTTTTTTTAATCTTTTTATATTGTTAACATTTAATGGTTTTTCGTGATGTATTTTGGGTTTGGATTCCAGGCAGATAAAAGATCTCCCTTTTGGGTTCCCAGGTACAAACCTTCAGGGGAACCCCAGTTGTAAGGGGTTAAAACCAGCTTGATACTGATAAAATGTATAGTTGTGATGGTAACACTGTACTTGATGGGGCAAATAATTCAGTTACTACTGAAGTACAAATCATGAACAAATATAGTCGCTACTTGAGATAAAACCTGCATCATGATTCATTAATGATGAACAAATATGAGATCAGTATTTCACTTGTGTTATTCCTTCAGCAGTTCAAAGGGTTTACAGAATTAACAGATATAGTGACAAATATAGTAACTGCTTGAGATAAAACATGTGTCACAAATCAATGACATATTAACATTTGATCAGAATGAAACTAAGACTTAGTTTGTGGCTAATTAATACATAAGTAATAGCATAATACTACATTTGTGCCCCACCAAGAAAAACTGTTACCATTGTGATTTATAATTGTAAGTATCATTAAAGGTCATTTTTATCTCTTGTCATACTTGTTATACATTTTTCTTGTGTGATGTTTGAAATCTCATTTTCAGTCTTATCCCCTTTCTGTGAAGGTTCCCACAGTAGAATCACTTTTTTTTTTTTTTTTTTTACCAGAAATATTGCTTTGTGATGGACTGTCACCCTGTCCATGGTGCCTCTCACATTATCCTCTGTGTTTCCTAGGATAGGCTCCAGGTTAACTGTCACCCAGCATTGTATTAGTGGTTATGAAAGATGAATGGATTTCCATTTGCATTTAAGTTTTCTGGTTGACTCTTCTGGTTTTCGTTCACTGACTTCATTCTGTTGTCTTCACAGGAAACTACTATGGGACCCCCCGGCCGGTCCACATCGGCCCAGAAAGCCCCCCCATTACCTATCAGGAGCACCGCAACCTGCTCAGGAACTTCCGCACCCGGAGCAAGTCCCTAAGCAACCTGGAGAAGGCGGCCGAGGAAGGAGAGAATAGCGAGGAGGACTCTGGCCTCTCAGGTGCACAGGGTGATGGAGGCTTCCGTATGGAATACAGGGATTGGTCAGATTTTGAACCAATCAGTGCAGATCACCCAGGACTCATTAATAAGCAAACAGATCCTGAAAAAGACTCCAAGTCATCGCCCATATAGAGGGAAAAAAAACTATAAAATGAGGATAGAATGAAGGGGTGAAGAAGTGGATTAGGGTGCATAGACGTGGGTTTTGGATTTGATGTGTGCTTTAGAGGGAGCAGGGAAATTGGAGACGGGGAAGTAGGTTGACCTGTACCAAAGGGCGTTTTGCATGTTCTGCCTTTTTTTGTTGCCCTCAGGGGGCTCAGCGTGTGCCAGCAGTGCCCCTCCCCAGGCCTCCTCGCCCAGCCAATCCCGAGACTCCAATGGGGGTGACGGCAGTGCCCTGGAGAACGGCGGGGGCGCCGTGGGCAGGCCCGGAGGGCTCCCGGAGAATTGGGAGATGGCCTACAGTGATTCAGGGGAGCCATATTACATCGAGTGAGTGGGATGTGGGTCACATTTCCGGTCTGTGGCGGGAAGGACCGTGGCTCTACATGTAGCGGAGTATAAGGGGACAATGAATTGGAGATAACTAGCGTCTAGGCTTTGGGCCGCATAGTGTTACGTCATGCTTCCCCGATCCCATAGCGATTGTCACGAAGTTTGTCGCTGATGCTTTCAGTCACAAGTCCAGGACAACCAGCTGGCTGGATCCTCGAGCCCAGAGTCGAGAGGTTCTCAGCAAGACAGAGTGTGAGTCGTCGTCTCCTGCCGCGCCCCCGCATGAGCCCTGAACCCTCTCTGTGCTTGTGTATATATTTATCTCCCCCCCCCCCCCCCCCCCCCCGATGTGCTCGTTCAGATATAAAACTGCCCCCACGCCTCATTAACTCTGTTCTGATCCATCTCTCTTTCTCCCTCCCAGTCTCTTATTCACTGAACTGATTTATCTTAGCAAATGTAAAATAAATGTAAATACTAAATCTCATGGTCCACACCATTCTAGCAATAATGGTAATAATAAAATGAGTAGAACTTTGTGACTGCAAAGCCCCCCTTTTAAACCTTGAAAGCACATTGAGCTGTATCACTGTAAAAATTTCATAGTAATTAGAGATGATGAGATGGGTACGTTAGCCAGATGGAGACAGTCCCTACCGTCACTTAAGTGATACGTTTTGCTGTTATTTGGTTCACCAATTTTTTGAATTAATGAAAAACTTTTTAAAGGGTTGTGGTCTGCTTGCTGGTGGAGCTGAAATGCGCAGTGTGTTGTGCACGACACCAGAGGGCACTAGAGATCTGTTTATTTACATCATCCTTTCTGGGGCTCGGCGCCACCAGCCTCTCTCGGTTAGGATATTCACATTTTCTCTTGATCAATGTGCAGGCCCCAGTCCGGCGAAGTGTCTGAGTTATCCTGCAGTGAGTGACCTCCCAGTGTGACTACGTACTGTTGTGTATTGCAGTGCCTCCCTTCACTGACCAGCCCAGCCAGTTGAAGGGCTACTCCGTCCACACGCGCCTGTCCAAGGGTCCTCGGGGCTTTGGCTTCAACATCGTTGGCGGGAGCCGTTCCCGGGAGTTCCTGCAGGTGTACAGCGTCACCCCGGGTGGCCCCCCTGCACTCAACACAGGTACCAGGGGCTTTTCACAGTGATTAACTCGGTGACGGCAAATTCATCCTTTCCTGTCCGCTACGCTCTTCATTCGCTCGTATTATTAACATGAAAACAAAGTACCGTTGACACGGCGGGACATTAGAAATGCAATTGAAAAGTCTGTGGTCTTCCCAGCTAATAGGGAACGTTCCCAGAAACCGGAGCCAACGTTATCTGAAGGTCCTCTCAAAGTTAGAACGTAAGAACGTTCTTACTGTAACGTTAATGGAACTTTATTTCCACGTTTCAACAAAGGTTCTGTCAATTTCTGCGCGATAATGTTATAAGCTAAACATATTTTTAACATAGTTATTGTTGAAAATTATTGTTTTGTTCTGGGAACATCAGGAGAACTGGACATTTGGAATGTTTACGTTTTTTAATTTTTAAACGTTTCGTAAACGTTTCTAGAATGAAAGACTATTGACGAGGTTCAGAGCTGTAATACGGAGTGACAGACATTGCATGAGACGGAACAAGGAGCATTTTCACTTTTTTCCTCGCTGTCTAATAAACACGGAGCCACCTGCTGTCGGTGTGTATGGAGATGGTGTGTGAGCCCAGGCTGCACAGGCAGTGTCTCNGTGTGTATGGAGATGGTGTGTGAGCCCAGGCTGCACAGGCAGTGTCTCCACCTCCCCTTAATCCGGATGGCAGTGTGGCCTGTAATCTGGCTGTCAGTGAGACACGCTGTCACCGCGCCAGCAGCTGAGCACACACACACACACACACACACACACACACACACATGCAGACATATGTTTGTATTCATATCTTTGTGGGGACCATCCGTTGATTTCTTTGGGAAAAACCCTAATCCCCACAATGACAACGTTAACCCAGGCCGACCTTAACCTTTAGGCCGAAAAAATGGTCCCCACAATATCGACATAACAGCTTTTTATCACATTGTAGGGACATTTGGTGCCCCCCCCCCCCACACACACACACACATTCCAGCCGTGACTAAGAGCAGAAATGTTCATGTACCTATGAAACAGAAAATAGTCACAACTGCTCCATCATTCTGTGTTAACCTTTAGGATGCAGAATGAAGGCTTTGGTAACTGGAGCACCCAGGGGCTGCCATATATTATTTATGCCTGTGGTCTCTAATTTGTACATTTATGGAGATTATTTTCCATTGTTTTCCCTCGATTACTTTCTTTGAAGGGACTTGATTCTCTCTTGAAATCGGCCATAAGTTGCCCGTAAGACTGATTGGTGTGACTGGTGCAGAGTGGAGTAACTGGCATCCCTCTTGTTTCACTGTTTCTCCTCTCGGGCTACCAGCGGACATCTTGGTGTATATCAACGACACCTGCGTTTTGGGCATGTCCCACAAAGAGGTGGTGGAGATGCTGAAGTCGGTGCCAGTGGGCGGCAGCGTGGACGTGGTGCTGCGGCGGGGATACCCCATGCTGTACAACCCGGACGGCTGTCCCAAGCAGCCGCAGACAGCCCCAGATGCGTGCGAGTCCACCGGCCCGGCTCCCCCGAAGCCGCAGCCATGCCACGACGCTGTGCAGCAACAGCAGACTCCGCAACAGCCGCCACATTTTAACCTGAACAGGAACAGGACGCACCTGGATGGGAGTTTTCCCAGCATGCATCAGGGCATGTCAGTGACGGGGCTGGATGCCAATGGGAACGCAACTAACTTCTTTCCACCGGCCCCTCCCTCGTACCCTAACGCTAACGGCCACCTCTCGGGTCCCCCGGCGCCCGGCAGGCTCATGGGAGCCCCCCCACCCCCGCCACCGGAGCGAATGGCCAGCAGTCAGAGCGATGGAGAAGGAACGGCGGCCATCAGCACACACAGGTAATGTGGTGCACGCTCTGCATTTGGCCCACACTGGCAGATCATAGGCCCTGCCTCTAAAACGCAGCTTAGAGACGGGGGTTTATCTCTGAACACTGTTGGGGAGGGATGAAATAAATATAGATGCCTGCTGCTGAAATGCTTCATACAGAGGAGAGAGAATCCTTAATTTGCTTATAATCCCTTCAAAACTGATATTCTGATCGCTTCTCTGAAAAGAGAAGGACGTAAAAAGGATGCTCGTGTGTTTGGTTCACAAAAACATTTTTATAAATGTTCCAGTGATTCGACTTTTTGTCCAGCAAGCTGCTCAACATTACTGATTCCAGCAGGAAGTGCAGGGGCACCGTTTTTACTCCAAGCTGCTACTTGGTAATCGGAGCCATCACCCGATCAAGGTTAACGGCGCTGAAACACCAAGTGCACAGGGTCCCCGGCTAACTGGGTCGAAATGTCCCGAAGCGGGGACACTGCCGATTCAGCGGAGCGGCTTAAAAGCAACAGGGCAGCTGGTATTTTCTGAAGGTGATGAAAACGGGATTTGACTTTGAGTGATGCAGCATGGGAATGTGACTCCATTTTTAAAATGGCCTCTTGCTCGCACTGTTATACCTAAAACAATTATCAGAAGCAGCCATCGCCTCGCAGTCCTAGCTAAAAACAGGACAGGGGCTGATGCTGTAACCCTCAGAACGGTCAGTGATCTTCAGCAGAACCATCCTGCTGGTCTGACAAGCAGAACCAAGAGCCACATTTGAGGGAAGAAGATCTAATTCAATCAAAATAAGCCTGTAAAGATAGACAGGAGAGGGATGGTTGGATCAAATCATCTTTGCTCTCCATGAGACCCACATGAGACACATTCAAGGGTGGACTTCTCTGGGGACCTTAGACTGACATGGGTGGACCCCCCCCCCAAGGGGGGGCCATTTGAGGTATTTTTTTAGACTCGATAGAGAAATGAGAAGGAATTTAAAAGGATGAGATCAATAATATGCTAATGAAAGTAGGAGGTAGAATTTACCAATCAGGATGAGGGCGGGATCATACCAGCAGATTAATATGGCAAATTTAAGAAATTTCCTCCTTTGCTAAGGCTAGTTGCCATGTCTGTTCACAGTTTGTCTACCACTGTAACAAGACAGTATCAAACACATGGGATATATGTAATACAGGGCAATTCAACTCACGGTCCTCAAAGGCCGGGTCCTGCTGATTTTCCAGCCTTCCTTCACCTGTGAGCCAGGTGTGAAGCCTCTGACCAATCAGAATCAGTAATTATTGAACTAACTACCTGGGAGAACTGAAAACAAGGCCTGGATTTGGACTCGAGGGCCTGAATTGAATAGCCCTGATGTAATATGTAGTGTTTTATCTTTGTGCCGTTTCTTCTGTTAGGTTACTTTGTGCCAGTGAAGCAACCATGAGACTCCAGTGTGAAAAGAAGGCTGGGTCTCAAAATAGGAATAGTCCATTATAGGCAACTTTGTCTATCTTAAAAACTATCGATAAAAATTAAAATAACAGACGTTGCTCTAACTTAAATAATAATATTATATTGTGTCCCTAAATGTAAGTTCTGGAACTTCTGTCGTCATGGGGACCCTAGTTTTTGGGGGGCCTACCCTGCCTAATGGTACAGTCTGTCTCTGGACGCATATGAAAGCTGACACTCAGCTCCACAAATAAATAAAATTATGATGGGTAAAAAGTTCAGCAACACACTTTACTTCCTGGGACCCCGTCTTTAAGTCATATTTTTAGCACTGAAACTTGTCCCAAGATGGGATGTACAGCAGTGACTGCAAAATACGCGACAGTGAGAATCAGAGAGAGTAAAAGTAAGAGTCTTGCTGTAATCATGTAGTGTAGTGTGACGTTGGGGTTCATGTGTTTGTAGTAGGTGTGTAGGAAAGATTTTAAAACATTACTTTGCCTAAGTACAGTACTGCATGTTTGTCGTCGGTATTTGCAGCCAGTGGTTTTCTAGAATTTTACTTTGGAGCATAATGTTGAATTCAAAGCTGGATATGGCTTTGGCAGAGTGAGCGCTTAGGGCTGTTTTATTTAGAAATGCTCGACGTATATCAGCTTCGGTGGATTTTAAAGTGAGGCACTTGATAATTATTGTACTGGTCTAAGGTACAATATGCCATTTATTGAGGTGGAACTGGTGTGTTTATGTGGCTGATTTTTTTTCCCATGATGCCCCTCTCTCGCCTCATAGATCATCCCTGATCCGCAGTCATGAGCACAACTCTCTGCCGGGGCTGCCTTCCCTGAACACCCACACCCCCAAGTCCTCAGAGAGCGACCTCTCCACGGTCACGCTGCCCATTTCCAGACTTCCGCTCCCACAGCCTGAGATGGGCCCCGGCCCTGGGGGGCTCCTGCATAGACCCCTGCTCTCCCTCAGCTCCCTCCCGCTACCGTCCCCGGCCAGCGTCCAGCCCTGCGTCTTCAACGGCTGCCCAGACCCCAGCCCAGGGAGCGGGAGCAGCCCCAGTACCCTGCCGTCGCCGGGGGCAACGGGGGGCAGTGGCGAGCTGGTTCCAGTGGCTGTGGGGAAGAGTGAGGTCGGGGGCATGGGCTTCAGCGTGACGGCGGGGGGCCAGGGGGGCCGGCTGGCCGTGGTGAAGAGGGTCTGGGACCGGCGGCAGTGCCCCTCGCTGCAGGCAGGGGACGCCATCATCAAGATCAACGGCGCCGACGTGCAGAGCCTCAGCTTCGCTCAGGTGCCCGGCTCGCGGGGGGGGGGGGGGGGGCGAGGCTTCTCTGCCTGTGTCCTCAGCCAATAAGGATGCTAATTCACAGATGATGTGACCGATCTTCTCGCTTCGGGCTTATTTTTGGTTGGTTATTATTGTTTTTTTCCAAATATGGACATAAACAGGTGCAGTCACTCAAAGGACTTTGTCAGGGAATGTTGCCATTACAGTCAAGCAGATCCAGGTTTAATTTCAGCTTCACAGCCTATAAATTCAAGTGAGGTGCTGTTAGGGTTACATGTAATGGCAATGGGCTTAAACGATAATCTACCTATCTGGCCCTTCTGGTGATTAGTAATGTTATATAATATTACAAATGGTGACCAGGGAATGAATCACACGCTTTCACATATTACTCCATGCCCTGCTCTGCTACATTGCCCCAGCCACTTCATTTTATATGAATGATCTGAGATGGATGGTGGGGGATGGCAGTGGAGGCGGGCGGGCTGATGCCCTGTCAATCACTGAGTAATATGACCCTAATTGGTTACCTTTTCCCAATGTAGTGGAGCAGGGTGTGATGGGTAGTAAATTGTGGGCTTTGACACCTCCCGTCGCTGTGTTCTACTGCCCCTGGAGAACAAATCGTGTTGGATCCAAGAATCCAGGTTAATGTGGTTACCCTGCGATTTTGTTAGCTACAACAGCATCTTTGATGGCTGATATTGTCTTTTTTTCCTTATACTTTTGAATTCATTTTAAGTATTCATGTTTTGCAGGTACAGAGAGTCTTACAGGAGCACACAAAACAGGGGGAAGTGATTTTGCTGGTTTACAGAGGAGGTCAGTACTGCACACTGCAGTGCCGTTGTTTTGGGCGTTTTCTCCAGCTCTGTACACTGACTTTATCTCCAGCTCCCCGCTGTATGAGTCTAGCCCTGCATACCAGCACATACTCAACATTCTTATCATCTGTGCCCTCATATCCTTATCTACCTTAGCCTCCCCTGTACCTCCTCCAGATGGGAATGGTTCTGTGAGCGGTTTATACCACAGAGACGAGCAGCCTAAGCGTGGCAGCCGCACCCGGAAGCCATGCGACATGTGATATGTTCTTGTGTTGCAGGTGAACCCAATTCTGTGCAATATTTTAACATCGACGTAATTTATCCATCTCTGTCTTTCAGGGTCAGTGCGTTCTCCTCTATCGCCTAATTCCTCCAGGAAGATTCCTCCTGCCCCTCTGGCGGTCACCCCGCTCAGCCCCTCTCCTCCTCCTGACACCGTGCCGGTGCCCCAGACCACTCTCACGCCTCCCTCCCCCTCCCCGGACGTCCCCTCTCTGGTGCAGAGCACCAGTTTTTTGGACTCTGTACCCGTGACACTGACCCTGGAGCCGAAGGATTGGCTGCGTGTGGAGGAGGGCGGGGCTCAGGCCACGAAGGGGGCCTCAGGGGCCAGGGGCCCCGAGGAGGGGAGGATCGCCGTGGAGGTGGAGTTGCGGAGGAGCTCTGGAGAAGGCTTTGGGTTTGTCATCGCCTCCCATGACAGGCATCTGAACGGCAACGGTGAGTCTGCTGTCCTGATGCTGCTCGAGAGAGCAGAGTGACACAGACACACACTGTAAGGCTCTCCCCGGGGGGCACGGAGGGGTGGAACGGGGACACTGCTGGGCAGGGGTGGTAACTTCAATGGGGTGGGTTGGGTGTGGGGGATGCACTGAAACAAAAATCCACTGTTTGGGCTTCAGGGGAAACAGACAAGCAAGCAGAAAGGGCATTGGGGAGGGGCCGGGCCGACCCTGTGAGAATGCAGACCCCGATCATAGGCAACGGTGCTAAGATAAGCGAAAGAATGTGCTTCTAACCCGACTTCACCCCTTCCAGACACATCCACCTCCCTCCTTTCCCTAAACAGTGTACATTGAGGTACAGATGCCAGTGTGTGGAATACAGCTGAGATTTTGTTCTGTTTAATTTAATTAATTTTGGGAGGTGTGTTTGGTAGCAGTGAAGGTTTGGTCTCCGGCACGCAAGCGAAGAGCCTGAGGCTCCCCTCAGACTCTGATATGTCCCGCTCAGGTCTGATTCATGAATTAAATATTTTTTCGAGATGTTTGTGTGCATTTACTGTGCCCCAGTTCCTCGCTGCCACGCCGAGGCTCTCATCCCATTCAGACTGGTTTGTTATTGCAGAATGCTGGTATTTCAGTGCTGCATCAGAAACACCCGCCTGAAATTAATACTGAGGATAGAAAAGTTCACATTAAAGTAATATGACACAGAATGCGGAAGTGTTCATTAAAGAGCTCTATTAGTATAGTCCACAATGACGAAGTCCCACCTTCTTGGTAAATACTGTATAATGTGGCTGCTGGGGGTATAGGTTTCTTAAATGACACTTAGGGTGATTGCATCATTGACAATGACAGATTAACGTGCCTTTGTTGATTGTGTTGATAAGTGGGGATGTGCATAACATGGTGCATGAGTAGATAGCACTATTAACCTGACTCCGCAGGGATGGAAGCTCAAATTCAAAGGTCTGCATTTACGCAAATTGGACTCTCTAATTTTCCCGTAATGTGTGTGAGTTTGTGCCCTGTAATGGATTGGAATGTCAGCCAGTGTATCTTCTGCCCTGCGACCTGCACTTCTGCAAATAAGGCAGAAATGAATATATGTTTGTGTTTTATATCAATAAGGAATTAAAACTGCATATTTTGTCTGGAGAAAGGCCTTGTACCCAGTGAGGGAGAATTCAGTGAAGTATGTTGGCTGGGTTTAACATCAAAGTTTTTAGAGTGTCGTAAGGAAAGCTACACAGTTCATGAAAACTTTATTATACTCGGTTAGCTCTCTCTGTAGCAGGTAGAGGACAGGGCGGACATGAGCCAATTTGGAAGCAGCACCAAGCGGGTCCCACCAAATGCCAGGCGAATAGGGGACGGGAGCCTGGCCTACTTTTACAAGCTTTCAACTTCTGAAGGAGAAGGACAGGGATAGATGAAACCCAGCAGTGGCCGGGGGGGGGCGCGAGCAGGAGCTGCAAGGCCGTGATCACAGTGAAGAAGCCCACGTGCGTGAGGATGGACTTCAGAGAAGACTCTCCTCTAGAGGTCAACGCATGTGGCAGGAATAGTGGAAGTTTCATTGATTTGATTCCGTAATTGAAGAAAGTCATGTTATATGTTGGGTAGTTTTTTTTGAGTATTCAATGGATTTTTACATCCTACGGGACACATGAAACTTAACATACCATATTATTTCTTGTATTCTGTTCTCTGGAGATGGCAAGTGAAACCAGACCCGGTTCCTTAGGTTTATGACACTTCAGCCTTGCTTTTTCAGACCAAGCTTTCTTACTTTCCCATTTTTATACACATATGTCCAGTAGTGGTCTATTAATCATTATTTTCCTGGAATGATGTATTAGGTCATTAGCTGCTGATTTCCGCTGAGAGTACAGCCTTTTTCCCTCAAACTACATCTGTCCTGCTCTAAGGATCTCTCACAGTTCACACCTTCTGGTCGGCAGTAGACCAGGAGAATGAGCAGCAGTAGGTCATGAGTATGAGTCAGCTCTCTGGATGGAGCTTGCCTGCTAATGGACTGAGTGGACCTACACCATGGCTAGAAGAAGCCCCATGCATCATTATGGCGAGATCAGAAGCTTTTACTGGGACTGCAGAGCTATTTGGGCTGCTGCCACAAGTGTATGCCTTCAGAGTTCAGGATCTCCTTAGATCATGTCTGGCGTCAATGAACAGTGCATGCTGAAAACTCTTGCATCCACGGCAATGACGAGGCAGGGTCTTACCGAGGGGATCTTGTTGTATTCATTCTTAACGGTACTGGACACTCGGCGTCATAGATGCTGAGGGTGGTCTGCTTTGCAGTCTTTGCAGTGTCTTCATGCTGAGTAAATTTTCCCCCACAAGTTCATGGGACCTGTTGCCAAATTACCTTCTAAAGGCACGTCAATGACTGCGCCGTCAGAAAGGCCTTCTTTTGATGTCAGTCTAAGTAGCCCATGGGCTGGAAATGATTTCACATACAAATCTAACCCTGACCACATTTCAGTATAATCTGAAAATTGGGAAGGATTCAATCCATATTTATGCCATCCATCTTCTATAAGATCCCTTATCCAGCACTTGGTAGCAGTAATTCTGGTGCTGGTTCCAGGGGGCACTGTGGGTGGGATCCCAGGGTGCACTCTCACATGAGGTGAAGACAGGGCTCCCCCAGCTGCATGCTTTTGGACTACAGTGAGAATCCCGCCAGAGACAGACCCAGAGGCGATGAGACCAGAGGACCACGTTCATTCACAGACAGGGCGTTGGTCTACAGCGCCTCATAGGTTGAGCCAGGTAGGCGTTCGGGTCTGGCAGCTATCAGTTTGTGGCTGGTTTAGTGGAAAATGCGGGAAGCAGTCAGTCAGAATGCAGTTCTTACTGCCCGCCTTGGTGCGGCAGTGCTCTGTAAAGCCTCATAGAAGGATAGTCAGCTCAAATGTCTTCAGCAGGCAGTAATAATTGACCACCAGTTGGGAGTCATCACTGCCTCGCCCAGCCCGGTTCTCTATCCTCCATGCCCTGTTCTACCAGAATCACGATGAGTCGGCATCACACCCACGTGAAGACGGGGGAGCCCGTGAGCTCCACACTTGCAAAGCCGGTGCAATCGCACCCCAACAATTGGCTTCCCAATTTCGTCCTTGTTTACAAAATCACTTTCAGAATTTGTTCTAGACTCTGTGTCATTTGAAAAAGGACCCAGAGATATTTCTGGGCTGTGCTGGGTGCATATCGCTGTGTCTGTGTCAGTCTTTGGTAATGATCAATAATGAGTGTAGCCTGATTCTGTTGCTGCCTGCGCACCAAGAGTACTGGCTTTTCACCATTGTCGTGCCCTTCGGATGACCTGATTGACACGTTTCACTGTCCTCATGTGCGTCTTTGTGTGTCGTTGTGCACGTGTCAATGTGCATGAGTGTCTTTGTGTGTCATTGCGTTTCGTTGCGCATGAGAAGGGCTTATTAATTCATGCACACTTTGAATTGTGCCTCAATTTCCTGCTGATGAGTCAGGTTTCAACTATTGAAAAGGAGAGTCTTCATAATATTTCAGCTTTATTACTTATCATTCGGCATCAACATCCTGAAAGCTCAGTTCCAGTCCTAGTTCAGTTTTACAGCATCGTCTGTTCCACTATATCAGTCCTTCCTTACGATAATGACGGTGATTGACTTGTTTTTCCAAAACTGGAATTTCTGACATCCTTCTGACAAATACCGACTTGATGAGTGCTAGACCAGACGGGCAGCATTCCTCATTAGCAATCTGTTCTTGCTGATTAATCTCTCAGCCCATCTCCGCCTCTCTCTCCTTGACCCTTTAGGGTAAATGTCTGCCTGATATTCTGTCTCTGTTGCGTCTGCTCCTCCCTTCAGCTCTTCCTTTCCATCCTTTCCTCTCTCTTCCTCCCTCCGCCAACTTCTGAGCGCACACCCCCCACCCCACCCCCCCCCCCCCACCCTGCCCCGCCGTCTCTCTGCAGCAAAGAGATCCCGTTCAGTGGTTAATCGTCAGTCTGGCTCGCTCGCTCTCTGCCGCTCCGCACACATTACAGATCACAGCAGGGACACTTGCGCTCAGCAGAAGCAGAACAACCGGCTTTTCCCATCCTCCTCTTTCTGTTTTACCTTATCAGGTTGTTCTCATACACTTCTGTTCGAGGTGCTGCACGCAGGCTTATGTTTTTTTTGTTTGATTTCCATTTTGATACCCTTACAAACGCTCACGAGCAAAGAACGATGTTGGAGCGACTGCAGTCCGCACTGAAGACTGTGAAGGACTCCAAACGTAATTATTTTGCTGCTATTTGTCGTCTTTGTTTTGCTGGTTTGTCTGTGTTTATGACTGAGGAATGTGAACGTTCCAGTAGTAAGATGTTTGCATGCCCTTCCTGCGCTCCTGAGTGGGTTAATGTGTTTGTGTCTGTATGTGTACTCATGTGTGGGTATCCATGGCTTATTAATAGCAATATGATCCATCTTTCTTTCAGTAATTACACTGCATAAAGGCTCCTAGATGACCTGAGCATCAGATGCTTGTTTATGGTATTTTTTGGACTCTGCCTTAAGCAAGGGAACTGAAAGCTGTTATTCCAGTTATTCTTCATTCAGATGAGCTCAAGTTAACTGTTTGAACTAGCGACTTGTGAAAACTTGACAGGAACTCATCTGCTAATATTTTGCCCCAGAATATATTTCTCTCTTGCAGAATTTTCACTCCAGTGCCTTGTCTTTGGCAGGGCTGTCGTCGTTGTGTTTTGGGTACTGTCAAGTCACAGAAAATGCCTGTAATGAAGCTCCCTGTTCTCACTCATTGCACTTGGATCACGTGTAACACGGTCCTTGTACACATTGTGTAACTTTGTTGCGCAACCCTCTGAGGATTTAATCCCCGTGGATCTGTGCTTTGGGCACACTCATTTCATATTTCATTACATATTGATTGACCATTGTCATGCTTTTTCTTGCTTTAATTTGCTTGATTAGACAG